AAATAAACATTTTTTCCCTAAAATTCTCGAGAGGGACGTTAAACAACATACAAACAAACAAAACATCCTGCTTTAGCCCAGCCCTATAGTAGAATAGTAGCGTTCTCTAGATTTGACTTATTCTAGAGTCTTGTTCTTCACTCCAGATGTTCGGGCATCATTACACTGCTGTAGAATATTTCTCCTTTTAAAGACAAGGGACAATAACTTGGTGAGTCTTTTCATTACCTATACACTGTCTGCACTAAAGGTAACCTTAAAATTTTTGACTCCACTGGATGCAAATCGATTTGATATAACTTTGTCTTCTTGCTTGATCTCAACAGATTTTTGACGCTCTTTATTCTTATTACTGAGTATTTTAAAAAATCTCCTCATCCTCGTCTAGAAGATTTGTAATAGAACATGGATGTTGTTGTTATAACATCCACCTTGTGACTATTCCTCAGATGTGGGGTTCAATTTTGTGAGTTGGCACGTTTTTCTCCGAGTCTTTGGAAAATAAACATTGATGAATACTTAGGCTACTGGCATTACAATGCTTTGTACCGTGTCTATGCCATATATCCAGTTCATACGTGCAAAGGATCTCTATCCGTCTTGCTATCTGACCAGGTGGTTCTTTAAAATTGAACAGCAATTTCAAAACACTATGGTCTGTCCTTGTAATCTAGTGTCCATACCAGTAATACCAGAAATGCTTGCACGCTAACACTACTGCCAGAAATTCTTTTTGAAAGACGCATTATGTCTTTCTGATTAGACAATGTCTTGCTAACGTAAGCTATTTCTTTTATTTGTCCTTCTATTTTCTGAGAAGAACTGTGCCAAAGCCGTCTTACTAGCGTTATTAGGATAAACAGGAAGCAAGGCCAGGGTGAGAGAGTATTGTTGTTAACCAAATGATATTGGAATTCCTTGAAAGTTTAAGCTGTTTGGCTCTTAGTAATCCAATCAATTTTCCCCTTTCCTGTTCGGTTTGATCAAAGGTAAACCACATATAAATCTATGGTAATAGCCACATAATCTTGTAAATAATCCAACCTCAATGACTTTCAATGGAACAGGGCGTTTTTTGATGGCTGAGATATTCTGTGGTTCAGTCTCTGTGTCCCCTCTAGCTGCAATAAATGTAGCCCTCTCTATGCTTTTTTTAGGGAGGGGGCTACAACTCCTTTGGATCTCCGTAAAGGTGCAAGTGAGGGAATGATTCACTACCGCACGAATTTTGGAAAGTGACTACTTTATTAACATTTCTTACCTGGACTAAAAAAATGTAGTAATACAAGACTTAAATTCATCCAAATAGTTAATGAAGAAAATACATCGGTTATTTTTCCTGCATGTCAACATCACAACTTGAATACTTGGTATCGCAGTTACCTCGCGGTTATCTAACTTACTGACGCTTTTTGCATCGGAATCGAGGAAGCTATAATATAAATCTCACAAGATTTCTGGGGCATAAGTAGTGGCAATCGAATGATTCGAACAATCATTATGCTTAAAGTACAATGTATTGCCTAGGGTTGAACCCCAAATACTAGGTTGTCTAATATGGAATGGTTAAAGTATTCTATCAGCTTCTAAACGGAACGATTTTAAGGAAGAAATGGTTTAAAAAGTCAGCTTAGGGAAAAGTATCATCAAAAATGTAATATACAAGGATTAACTCCTAACAAAGTTTTATTAGCGTGGTTCAGCGAATGTTCAGCAAGATATTTCACGAGGACTTCTTTCTTGTCTCTCTTTATAAATGATCGATCTTGCATTGGCCTCAGCCAACAGACTTCTCCTACCTCCACCATGAAAGAGTTCCGTTAAGTTAAGTAATCGCGATTCAAGTATTGTCTGCCATGTTTACTGCCCTTGATCGATTTTATTTTGGGACATCCAATGAGAATTCGAGAGCAAGGCAGTGGATCTTATAGATATCCCTTATTTTAAGCATAAACAACTCTATAAATGAATAAAATTTCACATGGAATGCTTTTATTTATAGATATTAGAGTGATACCATACGACGAAATTATTTATCTGCAGCGATATTTACTATTGCAGGCTATTCTAAATTCAAGTGCAAGTCAGTACATCACGCGAGACCTGTCATGACAGCTAAGGAAGACGACTGGAAAACATGCAGTACTGTAGTATTATACCTTTTATATTGCCTGAAGACGTCCGTATTTGAAAAAAAAAATTTGCACCATTCTATAGAATTGTAACCCTCTTCTAAAATCATCAGATCAAGAATATCGTAGAGGGCTACATTATTGCAGCTTAAAGTAATCAAAACAAAGAGCAAACATGGGCAGAATAATGTTGATAATGAATTTAAATCTTAATAAAAAATTCCGATCAGTAGAAATCAAAACCGGTTTCATGCAACTTAAAAAGGTCGTTAAAAAAGCTTCAATCATACGTTGAAAGGGTGACTTTCAAGATTAGTCATGAAATTATGCTCATGAAATGCAAAATAGCTCGATATGTGGCATCAAATTCGAGTTTCTTCGGGCATATCAAACATATCTTGAATTAAAATTGCATAATCGAGAGTCTAGACCTTAACTTACAAATACAGTGTACCTGGATAATTTTGTTAATGAGTGGCAGATCACTCTATATGGAAAATCGTAACGTTGCAGTGTTTCTTAATAAGTTAATTCGGCCCCAGGATAATGAAGCAGGTTTAGAGTAGAGTCCGCATTTGAACATTGTCTTAAAGTTTTATATATAGAAAATACATAAAATTTGAAAAGTTAATTGAAAATTGTTTTCTTTGTTGTAAATTTTAATTTATAAGTGTCACTTTATAAAAGATTTTCATTTTTTGAGTGAATAGAATTTTAAATTTATAGTCTAGGACTGTTTTATGATTCTGGGACCTGATAACCTTACCCTTAAAAAAAACACAAAATGTTCCTTTTATCTGTTTATGTAAAATAGTAAACCCCCAAAATGGCCCAGACAGACTCACATAACGTTGAATGTGTGTAAGACAGATGTACATTTACTCATTGTTTTCTCGAGTGCCGGTGTTGTAGAGTAGGATTTCCCCCATAGCCAGCTTTCCTCCTTTGGAATCTGTACTCTAGAGTAGAACCCCCCCCCCCCCCCCGCGAGGGGAAATCTCACATTGGAGCCAAATTACCCACTCTTTCTTTCTCAGAGTAGGATTTCCCCTCTTTTATCAATGCTTACATGTACATCATGTCGACAATAATGTGACAAAATGTTTATATGAAAGTCAATTAATTTTCTCTAATGGAAATATTGGTGTTTTGGTCTCATGATCATGAATTGTCAAATGTAGTATGAAATCTTAAAATATACAATTCAGATCATTGAGTCTCAACCCAAAATTTTAACTTATGGGAAATAATTAATTAGTCACTTCAAAAATAGTAAGACTCGATGTCTCAACACCTCCTCCCAGTGCAGTTGTACCTGCTTGCTAACGAATTTTAAATAATATCAGGGCACTTTTAGTGATTTGATTATTTGCTTGCCCTCTAAACGCCCAGTATTTTATCCATAGATCCTTCTTTTTTTCCCCTTTTCTTGAAAGGGAAAAAAGGCTACATGTGAAACCATAAACACAACAATACAAGAAACACTGCTTTTGCAGGCCATAGCATAAATATGTACTCTCTACCCCAGCGATGTAATATTGGATTTGAGAGCAGATAGCAAATACTGTCTGAAAGATTTGCAAAATTTTTTAACTTTCAGAAATAATGCCCATTTTCAGTTCCATGACAATATTTAAACACCAGAATTTTTAGAGAGATACTTACATATATGAACATATAGTTTGAAATACAATTTGAGAAAAAAATCCATTTAAAATAAAATTCCTTTTTTGTTAAGAACTATGGATACAGTTAAAATTTGTCCAAACGATCACATAGTACCATTTTTCCATGCAGAAATTAGTTTTACCAGTGAAAAGAATAAGATTTTAATGTTCAAGAATTTAGTTGGACGGTTACTGAGAAAAATGAGATATAAAATTTTTATTTTTCATACTTCGTATGTTTCAATGGAACTTGTCGTCATTTTCAAGAAGGGACGCTTGTAATATGTGTCGCCCATTTCCCCTCATACATAGAACAGCTATGATATTTTAGGGGGGAAAATTGGCTCTGGGGGAAATCGCACTCGAAACTATTACACAGAGGAGGATTTCCTCCCGGAAAATTGAATCTGTAAGGGAAATCCTACACTAGAGTCATTTTTCCGGGGGAAAATCCTACTCTAGAGCCAGTTTTTCGGAGTGGAAAGATTTTAGAGGGATAAGCCTACTCTATAAGACCGGTAGCATCCATAATGATTGTTAACTTCAATAAATGTTAGAATTATAGCTAGCTTTTTTCCAATGCAGAAGATGAAGATAAGGAACAGTGAACGATCTGACATATATATATATATATATATATATATATATATATATATATATATATATATATATATATATATATATATAAAGAGTAACTCACGGACATGGAAACTCCAACCATATCATTGAAAATAATTGTTACAAAATGCTTTAATATGTACTTATTATTACTGATTGCTAACTGATTGTTGGTTGGAAATAAGATATGTGAAGAAGTAATGAAATATTGCTTAAAATTAGCTGTTGTCCTTAAAGTTCTGAATTCCACTTAGAGTTAATATTTATTGTGTGATAGGATGCAAAACGACTTTATACAGCACTCAATGTTAAACAAATGTCACTATGAAATAATGATTAGGAGTTATCATACAAAATTGAAGTAAATTTAACCTTTGTTCTGAAATTTTTTTTAGTAAGTTGCTGCCTAGTATTGCAAATATTGAAATGAAAGGTATTTGATTGATCGTTGAGTCAACTTTGTTCATATTTGTATACATGTTTAAAGTACATTAAAATGCTGCATATTACCATTATCAAGAAAGGGATCTTAAATGTCCTGTTATTATTTGTTTCTAGTTGTTAAGGAATGACAGGCAGAAAATGTTGTTTACAAAACTTTATTTCTAGTGCAGTGTATGCAATTTCCATACAAGGTTACCTGGTAAAGCACTTTAGTTCATAAGGACTTTCTGCTTTCTGGGTATATACAAAAGGGTTACTCGAATAATGATTTCGCATTCCTGATTTGAAGTGCTGAAAAAAACTTCTTGACATTTTTTTCAGTTATGATCTGATCTGCTTCTTTATCTTCAGTTAATTCTCTCCCGGTGGCCACAATTTGAATATCCACTACATGTATCCAGGATGCTTCGTTAAAAATGAAATTTTGAAAACGAAAATTATAATCATTATCTTTTTTAAAAGGGGATTTTTTCAAGAATAAAAATAGCAATGCATTACTTATTTGATAAGAACCAATTCGACAAAAGAAAGATATAAGAAAACTCTAACAACTATGATCATTTTTTCTTGGATGCTTTTTTGTAAATAAATTTAAGCGATCTCCAAATATTCTAGCAATAAAAATCTCATTTTCAGAATATGTTTTAAGGGGGGAAGGGGGTACAAGCACAAAAAAGAAAGAAAAAAGAGATGCTAGAAGTTTTACAAAATTCAAAGAAATTCCTTAAAAATAACCATTTTTCTACTTATTATGGGTCCATACTAGGTAAAAATGTATGATCATATAAATTTTATACAAAATCTCTTGCTTTTTACACAGAAAAAGGAATACTATATCAACAATGGAAAGATCAAATTAAAAAAAATTCAACAGTTTTACGATACATTTATATGTAATATATATGTCAAAATAGAGTATCACAGCTTATTCTAATGTTTCACCCCAAAAACACTATACATATTGTGGTGTAACAGCAATGATGGTTAAATGTCAGTGAATGTGGTTCAGCTGGATGTTGTCGTATTCACGTGACAGTTGACACATGACGCATTGTGGACACCAGCAGACCATACAACAGTCATCACAGATACTGCCCTGTAATATATAGAAAACAAGTAAAAAATATTTCCCAATATGTAGTGCAATTTAATCCAATGAAAGTAAAATTCTGTTTTAATTGTGATAAAATAAGTTTTAATAGCAGAATTATAGCAGAAAAATTTTTTACGATATGCGATTTACGATTTTATGCTATCAAGACTTTGTAAACAGGAGGGTAAGAAATATTTTTAGATGTATTTATATTTTTATATTTATATTTTTATTTATATCAGGTTGACTCATACAAAACTTACATGGATGTTGTTCTCTGCACGGATCTTGGTTCGGAGAGGAATCAATGCACCGGTTCCAGAGATTGCACATGGCAGACAGCATGACTCTCCGAGCTTATTGGACAGGTAACACATGTAAAATTGTGGACAAAAGAACACGGCACAGCCTATAACGAAGAATGGGAAAAAATAGAATAATGTAACATCTTAAATCGTAAGAAAGAATTGATAAATCATTTAAAAAGAACAATAATTGAAGCATAAACTATTTTGGGCTTATCGGTAACATACTGACCTTTAGAGTAGGCTTTCCCCTCTAAAATCTTTCCCCCAGAAAACTGGCTCTAGAGTAGGATTTCCCTCCCAGAAAAATGACTCTAGAGTAAGATTTCCCCTACGAAAATCCCAAATTGATTCGACACTATGTAATAGTTATAGAGTGTTATTTCCCCCAGAGCCTACACCCACTAAAATATCATGGTTGTACTTATGTATAAAGGGGGAGGGGTGACACATTGTTACAAGCGTCCCTTCTTCAAAAAGGCGACCAGTTCCATTAAAATATACGAAGAATGAAAATTGAAAATTTTAAATCTAACTTTTCTCAGTAACAAATTCTTTTGAAGTATTAAAATCGGTTGGACAATTTTTTACCGTATCCGTGGAAACAAAAAGAAATTTTATTTTAACATTTTTTCTCAATTGTGTTTCAAACTACATGTACATGCATATAATACTAATGTGTGTCTCTCCAAGGTCATGGTGTTTAAATATTCAAAATAACTGCTTTTGAACTTAAATTGGGTCATTTATTTCTTAAAAAAAAAAAGGTGAAATTTGGTAAAACTTTAAGAGAGTATTTGCTCTCTGTTTTCAAATCCAGTATTACACCGCTGGGGTCGAGGGGACAACCAATGCTTCGGCTTGCAAACGCATTGTTTCTTGTATCCTTTTTCCCCCCGTTTTTTTCACCCTTTAAAGAACTCCTCGATTCAAATACTGATTTCACTGAAGAGACATAATTTGTCGAAATGCGCATCTAGTGCATCAAAATTGGTACCGTATAAGATTTACATACTCATAAAATGGGATGTGGAACCTATCAATAACATAAATTTTAGAATTTTCTCACTCATTGTTTGTAAAAAAAGATCGATCCTTATTTAAAATACTTGGCCTTTGGAGGGCAAATTATCAAGTCACTATAGGTGTCCTGATGTACATGTTAAAATTCGTGAACAAACAGGTGCCGCTGGGCTGAGAGAGGATGCTGAGACATCAACTCACAATTTTTTTAGTGACTAATTTTACAATTTGCTATCATTAAAATTTTGGGTTGAGACTCAATGCTTTGAACTAAATTCATGTCTTTGACGATTTCATACTAAATTTGACAATTCTTAAATCGAAAACAATTCATATTTTCATTAAAATTTGACTTTTATATAAACTTTTAGCCAAATATGTCGATATGATTTAAGCTTTGAGAAAAGGGGAAATTCTACTCTGAGATAGAAAGAGGGGAAATTTTGCTCCAGTGTGGGATTTCCCCTCGGGAGAAATCTTACTCTGGAGTAGATATTCCTGGAGGAAAGCTGGCTATGGGGGAAATCCTACTCTACAACATCGGTATCTAATAAATGAAATTATACTGGACAATCATTCCACATCCCTTATTCTAAGGTGCATGTGTAAAAAAAATGTTCCCAATATATATCAATGATCATAATATGAAAGTTGAAGAAAAGAAAATAAGCCCCACACAAAAACATGTATTTCAAATGCAAACATACAGGATCCAAAATCTTCAAAACAACCACATACGCCTGTGCTCCAGTTCCGTTTTGGAGGTCGAGTTGGGGCCTGTTGTTGTACAACCACAGTGGTGTTGGTGGTATGCTGTCATTACAGGAAAAAAAGAAATTCTTTAAATCAATTTCCTGAAGTCTTTATGTTTTGGCACTTATAGTTTTAATAGTTAAAAAGGAACATGTAGACTGAAGTCTGAGGGAAAAAGATTTTAATTCAAAACAGGTAAATACAAGATTTTCCAGCGCTACAGCCTTTAAAAGTTTTGAATAATATGCACAATGCAGTCTTTTAGTGTGGATTTATCGTTTATCGATAAATGCAAATGGAAGACATTCGTCATAATTTTTGAACAAGGATGCGATGCGAGACTTTTAAAAAGCGTTATTGAACAACTCAAACACCTTTATGAAGTTTGATTAGAATAACAAAATGCTCACGTAACCAAATGGTTGTCCAGGTCCCGGTTGACCCGTTATTGGGCCAGACTGTCCTGAATACTGGGGAGGGGGTCCCTGTCCGTCATGATGCTGGACTTGATTTGGAGATCCAGTTTTAGGCTGAGGGCCTTTTTTTCCTGTTAAGATTGAGAAAATTGACTTTAAGTATTTCTTTAAAATTTGAATTTGGTTCTTCTTTGATGTGTTTATGGTATTACACACCACAAAAAGAGTACTTGCCATTACAAGACTACCTCAGTTTTTTCCCCAAACATTGAATATTGATTTTTCATCTTCACGTCAACCATTCTAGAGTGATTTTTTTACCATAAACTTTGACATTTATCGTTTTTCTTCTTCGAATTAGGACTCTCAAGATAGCATCGTATATTTTTTTTTTTTAGAAAAACGGTAAGAATAAGTTCATTTACTCGCTACTTAATCTAAATTAGACGCACCATCTGCATAAAATTAAAGCGCATAAAGCTAATGGTTGACTTTTGATTATGTTAAAATATGATTTGACATGAAATATGCACATCGCTCTCATAATACAAATCAGGATATCATATCAGAAATAAAACATCAGCTTTAATAAAAAAAAAATCATAAAGAAAAAAATCCATCAACTAATTAATTTACCCGCAAATTAGATCTGACATTTACAATCATATAAATGCAACTCAATTCATTTTTCCTTAATTTAACTATAAAATAAAATGAGTTTAAATCATTTTTTTTTTATTTTTCAAGAACATAAGTTCTTATTCTTAAGTTCTTATATTCAAAATAAAAGAAATTTGTTCTCGGACATACAGACCTGATTGACCGTCCGACATATTGCTTGTGCAGGTAACCAAGATAAACTCATTAAAATAATTATTGTAGCTTTATGCAGAAAGAGGCGGAGATTTCTATTTAGCCAGCACAGGTGACATCATAATATACGACGAGGAGCAACAAGAGCATACAAATATCGATCATTGAAAAGAAATTAGCATTTTCAAACCTGAGATTTGGAAAACATCAGACCGTATTAAAGACGCGGTGTCAATGTTAAAAAAAGTTTTACAAATTTATGCCATAGTATCGAAATACTGTGTTTTCACTCGATCTAAAATTGAAATAAAGCCACTTTCGTGAAACATATTTCTAGTATACACATAACAGGTTATCATTTTATGATAAGCAACATATGATATATTTGTATTAACACGTATATAGCATTTAATGATCAGCTGGTATAAATACTTATAAGTAATTATCTCAATTAAATATACAAATAAAACTTAACTGCTATGGCTATATTTTCAAATTTTTACAAATTTTTACATTTTTGAAACACTTTTACTTTTGTATCAGACTTTCCCAACAGATACCTGACACAACAAATGCTTGGACTTACTTAATAAAAAAAAGAATTTCTTTTCTTAAATGTTGACGTAATGGTAAATACAAAAGTCAATAATCGTTAATTTAAAGAAAAAAATTGTAGTATCCACTGATAAGAGTCACAGTTTAATTCTTTGTATAGGAAATTCATTTCCTTATTTAAGTTAAATACTAATGCTTGAAAGAGTAAAAAAAAAAATCTCATCAAAACTCTCAAATTTCTTATGATCTTTGTTTTACATGAACTATAGAATTAGTTTTTATTTACTTGTGACACTTTATGTATATCTTGCAAATGTAAAAGTAGATTTAAAGTAAAAAAGATTTTTTTACTAAAGAGTACTTTGTAATCTGTTCATAGTTCTAAGACATCGAATTCAGATTTCTTTATATTTTCGAATTCACTTTGTTCCTATTATTCATTTGAAAAAGAAAATACTCTGATACATGAATAAATGAATGAGTTCTCCAAAATCTTCAAACGATTGTTTTTTCGTTTTCCAAATGTACGGAGACGTGTTTTGACTTTTACTTGAAGTTGTTAACAATCTAACAATGTCTAAGGGAATTAAACTAGATGTATCTAAAAATTTCAAAAAAAATTTGCTAATTTATATATAGCGTAATACATAAAGCTGAATGCATGATGTAACCAAGTGTTTGCATGTCTTCATCAAATTCTAAGCAGATCTACCAAGAAAAATTGATGACATAATAGAAGATTCCAACCGAACATCTCGTTTTGCTTCTAATAAGTCGCTTTATAAACGTCATTTTTTTTATATACGTGAAACTCGAACTGATACATGAAATTCATCAGAAATTTCTGAAATATCTAGTGAAATTGATATACAAACGTGATAATTTTTACAATTAGACTCAGCAAGCGGAGGTCCGTAGAAATGTTTTGTGTGATTGATGGGCGTTTTATGCACACGATCATTCGAGTAATCATTTTAAAAAAATGTAAAATACCCGTGAAAGGAAATCAAGCTTGTGTAATCCTTTTGAATACTTTACAGATGTTTTGTCTGCCCAAAAATCTAAGTTAGAAGGAGAGAGTATGTCTGCTTATCCACAAAATGACAAAAAATGTTTAGGAAAGCCTTTAATTTTGTTCTTTGTGGAGGAATCGTTGGTCCTGGATGACTCTGGTAAATGATATTGTGCTGGAATTATTGTGTATGAGGTTGGTAATCTTTGATTGACCTTAAGTTTTATCTGGATACAAAAAAGAACACATATATACATACATACGAACGTACTTTTTTGCAATTTAAAACATCATGCGATACTTGTTTCTCGAATAAAAGCTTTGGATTGAATTCTTACTTCTAGCTAAATCCATTACTCTAGCTTTTAACAAAATTAAGGTCTTTCATTCTTTTGAATGAAAATACATGTATATCTTTACGAATTATCCTTTATATATATTAGAAATCATATCATTTCATAGCTTTTCACAAATACCAGTGATATTATATTATTTGAAAAATGAAACTTCGAACATCTTTGAAATAGAATACTTGAAGTTGACTGTGTTCAAATACAATTACTTTTTTCAATAATGATGATGTGTATAATTATTTGTCCAAAAAATAATATGTAAACCTATAGATAATTGTTTGTCAATCCAGATGTCGCTAGTTAAATGAAATTTGGAAACAAGATTATCCTTTTCTTTTTTGATTACACACCCCTGTATATTTGTATTCATGTATGGCTTCTGAAATCAATTTAGGTATTAAATGCACATCTTCTTTACAACAGGCGTACATGAAACTTAGAATTTTCTCATGTTACGAGTATTTTCGCTTCTGTGTTTTAGTTGGTTTGTTTGTTTTTGTTTTCGCCCTTTAAAACAATATCTTGCATCATTTATTCTCTCTCTTTTATAACTATAATAGATATAGACTATTAAAGCGCATCTTAAGTTGACATGAAACCTTCGTTATGAAAAATTTATTTAGTTTTGAAGCTAAATTGGAGGATTTTTGTTCACGGAATGCATTTTTGGCTTTTAGAAATTGATTGAGCACATGGATGTTTTTCATTTATAGAGAAACTTTACAACAGAATAGAAATAAAATTTTCTTTGGAACATCAGACCAGAAGTACCTTAAAGTAAATACAATCAAATAACATGACTTACATGACTATAGAAATATTAATTGTATTTATTCATATTTATATGTAAAATTATAAGGAAAACTAATTCTTTAATGAGATAATTGCGAATGTATATATATCATTTTATACAATATTTGTATATACATAATTATTCAATATTAAGACATTTAAATCTACAAGAAAAAGAGATAAATAGGAAATTAAAGTCACAAATCAAAACACATTGTTCAAAAATATTTTACTATTAGTAAATTATATCTGATTAATCAATCAAACATGAGTTATTCAATCCATCATGAAAGAAGCAAATGCATGCAAAAAACAAACAGACAAACAAAAAAAAAACCCACCCACCCTCCACCCCCAAATCCCAAAAGTGGGGAAAAAACAGGAACTCCTCTATACACAAACGTGCATTAGTATTTATTTCCTTTGAACTTTTCGTATTTGTTCAGGTGCTAAAAACAAAAAAAAATATTGTTTTATCACTACATGTATGATACTTTTCTGCATATTAAAGAAAATAAGAATGGGTAATATTTTTTATCAATATATAAAGATCTATTCGAATTGATTGATTCCGTTCATTATCAAACCGACATCTTGCATTAGTTTTGCTCTAATTAAAATGATTAAATTCTAAGAAAATTCTAATACTGAAATGACAATCCCAAATGGCACACGTGGATAAGCAGTGGACCATTTTTCACACATATCAAATAAGTTTATAACTAAAAGACAAACTTTGATATTCCATTTAAAATTTGTTATTCTCTGCAACAATAATATGGTGTTTTAACGCATGTTTAAGTCCTGATTAAGGCGGATGTTGTCCTGTTCACGTGACAGTTGACACATGACGCATTGTGGACACCAACAGACCATACAGCAGTCCTCACAGATACTGCCCTGTAATATAGGTCAGATAAAGGATGGTTAGATGTTTTAAAATATGAAATAAAATAATAAAATTATACAGCATTAAATGTAGATGATCAAGGGGATGGGAAATCCTTTTTTCAATTTTGAAAAGAAGACTTTCATAGAATACCAAAAGTATTATCGTACATGTAAACAGAGTAAATTTAGGGTATGGAATGTCAATGTATACATGTACTCGTAATAGTTACACAGTCAGTCTTACATAAATGTTGTTCTCTGCACGGATCTTGGTACGGAGAGGTATTAGTGCATATTGTCCTCCGAGAGCGATAGGCAGACAGCATGACTCTCCAAGTTTACTGGACAGGTAACATACATAACATGATGGACATAAAACCACAGCACAGCCTTTATTTAAACAAGAAAATAAGGTATATATATATATATATATATATATATATATATATATATATATATATATATATATATATATATATATATATATATATATGAAAGCAGACACAATCAGCTTATTAAATTCCATGATTTCAGCAATTTCAATTAAGCATATTATGGCATGGAGTCTTGCTTACAAATTATATCATTGATATTCTTGTAGAAATTTATAAATTTCTGTGTCAACCTTTATCACCCTATTGTGTCCAAATCCTATTCGGAAGGAACATAAATCTTCACTGAATGGGGAATACATGCTTATCAATATTTTGAATATAACTATAATTGTAAACCTTTTCTTGAGAAGAAAATTTTAAAAGATTTTTTTCCTTTCTTAAAATCTGGGTCTCATCCTTGATTCCGATGCATAATTTGAACACACTGCAATCTTCATTACACTGGATGTTTTTATCCTACTATTTGAAGCATGTATTTACTACCAATTGTAGCTCTTAGGTTCTTGTGGAAAATTTAAAAAAAATCCACTTATATCCATATCCAAATCATTGAGTCTCTGTTGCGGCCCCACCCAAAGCCCTGAGTCCATGGTCATGATTAGAGCGAACTTGAATCTCAGCTACGTGGGGATAAGTGGGGATAAGAATATATCCTTAAGACTAATTGTAACCCACCTGCTCTTGGGAAGAGAGTTTTAATAGATTTCTTCCTAAGTATTCCTATGTGAAACTTAGACTCCATTTAATAAGCTCCATGAAATGTTTAAACAAACTTATTTGGATCTATGCTATATTAAAAATTTCTGTTTTATGACCCTGTTTTTTTTTTTTTTAAAAAGACCCCGCCCTATTTTAAATGCTGATTGATTATTTCCCCTTCAAAGATCGAGGGTTTGAATCTTCATTTGAAAAAAAAAACATCTATGTTCCAAGGATGTTTAGTGCTAAGTTTGGTTAAAATTCTCCCTGTGGTTCTAAAGAAGTCTAAAATTTGGAAAGCTTACAGGCAGAAGGACGATGCGAAAACTACACTTAAACCTTTAACTCGTGTAAGTTATCAAAGAGACCTTTTGCTTTTCATATCGTACTATGAAACGTAAGCCATCAGTTTCAGTACGGTATTTATAAGGCCATCATTAAAAATATCTTAGTTTCCCCTAACCCGACCCTAAAATCTGAAGTTGGGTAGGTAGGTAGGTAAATTATTTTTTTTCTGACAGCAGTTATGAAAATGCATTCTGAAAAATTGAATAATATCTTTATAAATAAGAAAACCCCCCAAAAGAAACCGATTTTTAAACTGAATATCATACAAATGAAATTCAAAAGCAACAAGTATGGTAAATTAATTCACAAATATTATTCATTTGAACTTGTGAAATATCTCAGGCCAGTGTAAATTTATTGAAATCGAATATTTACAAAAGGATAAGATTCGCAAATACTCAACCATCGGACATCCGAGTATATTCTTCAAACCTACTATCATCTTCAAGTGCTCACACAGGCAAAATGTCAAGGATTTTGCGTGGCGCAGTGATAATAGAGTGTTTCGTTTTAGAGTCAGGACGTAATTTAGCAGCTTATTCTAAGTCACAGGTCCCGATGTGGGATGTGGAGAGTGGTCAGTCGAATGAGACTTTAAAAAACGTCCAGCGTCGCAGTATAGATGTTGGCATCAAAAATTAAAGATCCCTTACTGATGCTTAATGATCAGTGGCCATAGGTGCCGAATAAAAGTCTAAATTTGGAGCCCTCCACCAGGTAGATATTCAAATGTTGTCGGACAAACAATTTTAAAGGGATTTTAAAGCAAAGAAACAACCTATTTTCAAGGGCCTAACTAAAGAAAAATGCGTTGGACCTCTCAGGAGGCTGTACCAAAAGCCAATTTTAAAGATTTCTACACTATTTGGAAAGAGTGTACATGTATAAACAATATTTAATTCAACCAAACCATATCTAAATATGATTAAAATGCTATATATCTAATGTTAAAAGTCGCGAAGTTTAACCCATAAATAAAAGGAATGAAGAAACGACGTCTGAATTATATTTATCAAGATGAAATAATTATACAAAGACATATTTACAACTGCTATGGTCCCATATAGTAAAAATAGGATCATACATAAACTGTTTATTAGATCCAAACGAATGAAATCCAGTGAAGTTTATTGATATGTATACACAAGGTGGGCTCCTCATCTACTTTTGAGGCAGGCTTTGCCATGCTTACTACGTACATGTACATGTACGTTAATTTTAGAAGACACATTTGTAAATACAATCGAAACACTCTTTAGTCATGATATATTCAATTCACGAAATGTTTCAAGAGTGTAGGATTCTAATGAGTTAAAGATATACATATATGTTTAATAAGATCGATACGTCGCCGTTGTTTTATAACACAAACTAACCCTTTAATTGTGACCACATGTTGTGGGCGCCAAATCAGAGTAGAACAAAAGTCGCCGTTCTGATAAAAACAGATTTTAATAAAATCGGATTTTATGAAGTTGATAGACAATAAAAAAAATATTTGAACAATCTTATTAAAAAAACTTTTCAGTCGGCGCGATTTAAGTGGGTCGGTCGCGTTAGGGGAAACAAAGGTATTTTTTATTTTGGCCTAATTTAACATTTTTAAAATGAAGGTATAAGTTGAGAAACGCAAACTAATACTTGATCCCCTATAACTATGTCAAATGCAAACGTACAGGATCCAAAATCTTCGAAACAACCACATATGCCTGTGCTCCAGCCTCGTTTTGGAGGTCGAGTTGGTACTTGCTGTTGTGTTACAACTACGGTGGTGTTACTGGAATGCTATATCATTTAAAATAAAGAAAATATGTTTGTAAATAGTTCAGTTGAAATTTTACAATTTTCCATTCAAATTTCACATTTTCTATATAATTTATATTTTAAAACCTGGTAAGTTTACAAAAACAGAAAATTACACGTAGACTTAAGTCGAGGTATAGAAAAAGGAAATAGGTGAAAACTATATCAATAGTTAATTTTCTAGGTCTTGATTTAATAAAGTATGAACTATTAATTAATATTTTCCCAGAAATCCAATTTTCATCGATCAATTACATGTAACTGATATGATACAATTATACACTCAGAAATGTTCTACAGAACTTTGAAAATGGGTCAAGCATTTCAAAAGCATTGATAAATTTTATCATTTTTATGAAACACTGCAGAATCATTGATTGCTAAATGCAAACAAATCTTACATAAAAGCCAGTAGAAGAAGATATCGAATCTGACACTAATATTTATATAGAACGATAAAATACTTACGTAACCAAATGACTGTCCTGCCCCAGGTTGACCTGTAACCGGTCCGGGCTGCCCCGAGTACTGAGGGCCACCGTAGCCGGGTGGTTGTTCTTGACCACCATAAGGATGGACTTGGTTTTGATGCGGGGAAGCAATGGGAGGTTTAGAGTCTGTTTTTCCTTCTGTTTTTCCTATTTAAGAATTAAACATAGTGTAAATAATTTGATTTTCAAAAAATTTTGCTAAATGTTGTATGATCTTGGAAGAATACTTGATCAAGTACTTGTCAAGATGATGATTACAGAAAATCATTATTTACAATGTATGCAATATTTTGTTCTTTCTGGGCTTGATTTTGAGAATCTATGAAAATTTCATTATCTTGCCAGTTAGTTATTAAATGTTCTCCGTTGCTAAAACCCCAGTCACATTTCCAAAAACGATCGACGATTTAGGCAAAAATAGGATTCTTCGGGTGACAGTCGGCAGTTCATTGCCTGCTGTCTTGCCTGATTTTGACCTATTTTTTTCGTCGGCAGTATCAGTCAGGTCAAATTATAATATTTTCTGCGTCGGTGGCCGATTCCTTCATTTGAAGCAGTCCCGCTTAAATAGTCCGTCGATCAATCTTCGCTCATCCTCCGACAGTCATCAGTTTTTAAAGTCGGTGGTCGGTCGATCGACATTTAGGAATTGGGTTTTCGTAAACGTCGGACGACGGTGAAAAACAAACTGTGGCCTACATGTAGCAATCAATGATCGGGCGACGGTTAACCGACTTATAAATATTTTTACTTTTAAAGGCATCGGTGTTCCTAGGAATTAATGTGACTACTCTGCGTCGCCCGATACTAGTGTCGGCCGATCATTTTTTCTTCAGCCGACGATACGAGAAAAATTTGGTCGCCCGACCATCGGCTTATATATGACCTACATGTAGGCATAGGGTCTGCTCTGAGAGTACTATGGATTTTTCTCATGATACAGTAGGACTCGACGAAGAAACATTTACGTTTGACAAAAATTAAAATCCTGTAATCTTTACATAAATGGAGTGCAATGCGCATCGTTCTTTCAGAATCTTAATATTCTTTAAAATTTTGAAGAAATTGATTTCTCCCTTCATTTTCAAGGCCAAATTAAAAAAAAATAAAAATAGAAAAATTCAAACTTTAAAAATCAATTTCGAAAACTTTGATATAAGTGTAGGTAAACTTACATCAAGATAAGATCGGTTAAATAAAGAAGTTAAATTTTTTACAGTTCTTATTAATTCCATTTTTTTTCTTACAAAATCCCTAAAAAATTTCATCAGAAACACAAACCTGATTGTCCGTCCGCCATATTGCTTACAGGTAACTAAGGCAAACCCGACGCAACAATATGATATGATTTTATGCAGGAAAAGGAGTTTTCTATCTTATCAGCACAAGTTACGTCATTAGATAAGACCAGGAACATATAAAAATGCATCAATATCGATCTTATAAAACTCAAAATTTAAGAGGGGACATTCCAATTATCTAAAAAAAAAAGAAAAAAAAATAGATTTCATTTTCTTTTCTTCACAAGATTTTTACAAATCAATGCCAGAACAACATTGAAATGAAATATTTCTAGCGTTCACGAGAAATTAAGTCATTTTTATTACGTATTCATATTTAAAACTTAAGTTTTGATTAAAGCATATTTTACTCATATTAAAAAATTGCTTTAATTATAATTGCTAGAAATATATATATCGCTTTAATTAATTGGTTAGAAATATATATCGCTTAATTGCTTTTAAATATCTTAAGATTGGAATTCAGTGCAATAATTTCTTGATAATTTTCCTAAAAACAATATTTCTAGCCTAGATCACCTCTTGATTTCTTTCAGGTTTAAATGTTATTTTCAAACTCTTGATAAAAGTTTATTTTCTCAAAAAAGTTACTGATATAAGTAAAACAAAGAATAAAAAAAACAAAGCAACCCCCCCCCCCCAACATTATAGTCAATTATAGGCATATTAATGAAAAAATCGTGTCTAATGTTTTTAATGCTTCATTATCTTTGAAAGAAGGTCTTCAAAAAAAAAAAAAAAAAAAAAAATCCTCCCTCAATCGATCCTCAGCTAAAACATGCATTACTTAAAACAAGGACATCAACCTGAAATTTATTTCATCTGAATAAAATCGTTAGATTTAATTTTCATCTGAAAATTTTACCTGTAAATCTTCTGTTAATGACTTTTTGATACATATGCTGGAATATTGTATTTTCAAGGATAAACATATGAATGCTATATGTATGAAAACCTGATCGAAATATTCCTCCACAAGAAAATGGGATGAAGGAACGAGAATTAGTAAGATAATTTCAAAATATCAATTATATGAATGTCATTATGACTTTGAATAAGAGCACACACATGGACATATGTAATATATTCAGACTTGCAAAATTTAGGGAGATGGCGTAATAGATTTTTAGAACTTGTGCCGAATCACTTTGAACTAATGAATTACAAAATATATTCAAATCAAATTGACGATAAGCAAACATGCAATTGTGTCATATAAATGTATACCGGTACTTTCTAACATACTCAGCTAAAATCACTAGTTAGGAAAAAACAGGTTTTAGATCTGCCGACTTCGTAATGTACAAGGTTGTATCTTTTTTTTTTACTTTCATTATTGGTGTTTCGTTTTCTACGATTACCTGGAAAGTGTTATCGAGTTCTGGTTTTCATTCTGAGTTCATGAGGTTCCTGTTTTTGATTTCTTGAAATCAGACATCGTATTTTCAGAAAATAAAATTTTAATATGCACCTAGCCACACGTCCCCAAGCTTTAGACTGAATACATTCTTGTGTTGAATGAGCAATTGATAAGAACCTTAACAACTAGTTATATGGAGGATAATTTAATTTTAATAAAGTGTAAAGAAACAAATACAGTCTACAGACAAAAAGATTGTAGGCAACTGATGAGTTCGATGTTTACTGTAAAGTAAGGTTTATATCATTGGGTATGATATAAACCTTGCTTTGAATCTTCATCCATTATAACAGGCATTATTGAACCTTTCAATCGGGCATAACGCATTTGTAGTAAAAAATACTTTATAAAGCATTTTAAACTCGTATAGAGACGTCACCATACACAAGCGAATAGCTTCAAGTTTAAACCTAAACTCGGCACCCAGGGTTATTGTCGTTGGGAATGGTTGTATATTACATTTTGAATTTATGCACCCGTATCGAAGTTTTTGTAACGCAAAAAAGGAAGAAATTATAATGACTTTCAAAAAGCATAATAACAAAGATCAAAAATCGTTTGGTAAATGACTCATAGCTTATTGCCATCTTGCAAACAGTTTGCTTGCTAAATGGTCTAAATAAGATTGTCAAAGTATTTGAATTTTCAGTCTTGGATCAAGGTAGCCCCGACCAGCAATATGTACCCAGGCCTAGGGAACATACATTTCATACTTTTAAAAGAGATATAAATTTTGATGAAAATCACACAGTTTTCCTGCAAAATGACATGAGTAAAAAAGATTTTTAATACAAAATAATTTGAACCAGGATTCATTGCATAAATTAAACAAAATTGTTAGATCGAGTGCAGTTGCTCATTATAATAATTTTTACAGTTTGCAGCTACATATAGATGTCCAAGACATGTAACCAACTAAGCCCTACTCTGATGCCGGTGTCAAAGAGTAAACCTTCCCCCGTAATAAAATATCCACTAAGTAAGTCTATGCTATTTAGCATGTGCACTGTTTGTCATAAGACAATATGAAAAATACCAGCATTACAGTCCACTTGACCTTGACCTCTGACCTACTTCGCAAAAAATACCCCAGGCAGTTTAATTTAACTTATGACTTTTGAATTTTGAGATGCGGGATTTTGATAATTAGCATTTGTACATGTTTATGAGCTCATGATACTGTACTTTGAAACTGTATGATATTCAGTTACCACACAAACTCTACGAAAATACATCGGGATCGGTATTTCACAGTGGATCGTGTTGTCAATTGCAGTAAAGACAGACTGCAATCTCTTTTGGGGAATAGTTGGAAACACGTTGAGCTCATGATACAATACTTTGAAACTGTATGATATTCAGTTACCACACAGACTTATTTTAAATACTATTAAAATACATTGGGATTGGTATTCCACAACTGGTCGTATAGATTGAGAATTGCAGTAAAGACAGACTGAAATCTCTGTTTTGATGGAAGGATTGTTGGAAGCACGTATTTATAAAATGATAAAAAGTTATTTCTAATAATTTCAATTTAATTATTCATTTGAGGGTAAGGGAATCATATTTTCTTTGATTGTCAGATTCTATGGCAGTCTTATACTATCCCTGGATGCCATTTTTTCTTTGCAGGCAAATGCATGAACACTATCATGCTAATAGTAAATAAAAAGCTGACCACTCTAAGATTTATTTACATTTATTTACTAAGCAGGTGACACATGCGTTCCTTGGAACACTCTAGTTTGTGTTTAAGGCATTTTCACTGCGCTATTGCGCCTTTTTTCGTATTACGCATTTTAACTTTGCCTTACAACGCCTTTTAAATATCGTTTCTGCTTGTTTTTTAAGGTTGACCCAAATGAGCTTTCGTAAGAATTTTAAAAAAAAGACCATTTTTTTTAAAATCAAGAAAACACAGTTTTTATTCTTAAATTTAAATTTCATACATTTATAGTTTGATTTGATAAGTAATAGAATTTTTACGGGTCCAGTCCATAACTTTATTTGGAACCTCTGACATGAATAAAGTCAGATGAAAGAAGGCTGTGTCATTGTACTTCGATTTAGGATCGTATCTCAAAGACTGAACAGCGAAATGTTTTGTTTTTCTTTTTCAAATCCTGTTCAGTCAA